CTTCTCTTCTGTCTGGTGTATAGCCGGCGCTAGCTGGCTGACTTCTCGTCCTCACGCTCCTCTCCCAGGTTTGAGCGGGAACAGAATGACACCTTCATCATGGAGATCCTGGACATCGCTCCCTTTACCAAGATGCGCATCCGCATTGACGGGATGGGGAGCCGGCCAGAGTGGTTCCTGGAGAGGGTAGCGCACGGTGCCCTTCCTCTGTCCCCGCCCGCCTCGCCTCCGTGCTATTGGGTTATGAGTGACCTTCTTGTAATACCTGACACGGGCTTTGGTGTGACTTAATTGGGGAACGAAGCTTTGCTTGTGTCTAGTAAGAGCTGAATCGTGTCAAAGAACACAGCACAGTGGGAAGAGCCTGGGATGGGGAAGGTTTGGGGCGAGCATCATCTGGGATGGGAGATGTGGAGGGATTCATAGAGAAACAGACTTGAGGCAGTGAGATCTGGGTGGGAGGGGGTCTTTCTGTGCCCCTTAATTACACTACTAGGTAGCTGTTCCTCGATGCCTTCTCTCTTGGAGGAGCCTGAGTCCACCGGAGCAGCCAGGCTGTGGCTCATCCCTGGGATCTCAGGCAGGCTGAGGACATCCTGAGCAGGGGATGGTGAGAAATGCACACTAGCAGAAGGTTGAGGTCTCATTGTTTTGCCTCTGCCTCCCCCTCCTGAGCACATAGCCTACAGAACACACCACATACCACACACAGCCACAGGCTCAGCTTCTCCCAAGGAAGGGAGGTGTCTGTGTTCCTCATTACCATTTGTTTACCTCCATGACCTTGCAGGACCCTGACACTGGGGACCAGAGGGAAGCCACTGTCACTCACTGTTAAGGAGCAGAGAGCTCCCAGTACACATCTCAGCTTGCTGTGTTTTCATGAAAACAAATGACACAGCTAACAATCCCATGGTTATGTTCCAGAGTTGGATGGGCTGGCTCTGGTGTCAGGAGCCCCCTTGAACAATATGAGGCAGATTCCTGAAGCTGTGTGACAAAGCTCCAGAATTTGGGGGGCGGAGCAGAAGAGCAGGAGTGAAGATGTGGGCAGGCCATGTGCCTCTGGAGACAGCATAAGATGACCTTGGCTGTCCTCAAGCTCCATCAGCTGTCACGCAGCACTTTCCCCATGTGCACATGTCCCCGAGGCCACCTGTGACCTCGTCTGGTTTAAATAAGGTCATACCACAAGACTTTGATGATGGGAATTTTAATATATACACTCAAGGTTGGCGGAAGATGGCTTAATTTATAATACAAGTCTTGTAAGCTTGTCTGAAATAGTCTTCCTATCCTTCATCCATGCATGGCCATCTGTCCTCATTCTCCCTGGGCTGCCCCTTCCTGCATAGCCATTGTACGCTTTCATTGAGCTAACAACACTGCATCCACGCCACCTGGCAAATGTCAGTGCCCTGCTCCCAGGCTGTCAATGGCTTGATTCGTTTTGTTTTCTGTCACTCATTCAGCAAACACTTTCTACACACCATTCTACATTGCATCGCTGTAAGAAGCCTTTTCAGATAGATTTCCAGTTCCCAGGTTGCATGGGCCTTTCAGCAGAGCACATAATCAGAGACCTCCCCGACACCCACTAGTCTGAATCCGGGAGCTGAGGTAGGAGTTCAGGGGAATGGCGCCCAGGTATCTCAGAGTGCATTTCTACATGGCCTCTCTCCAGATCCTACTGAAGAACATGAACACGGGAGACCTAACCATGTTCTACTATGGAGACTGGCTGTCCCAAAAGAAGGGAAAGAAGACACTGGTGTGTGAAATATGTGCTGTCATTGACGGAGAGGAGATGATGGAGTGGACATCCTACACGGTCTCAGTGAAGACCAGTGACATCTTGGGTAGGTTGTGACCTGCCTCCTCTCCTCTTTTCTTCCACCAGTATCATGACTGGAGACTAGCTTCTGATTAGGGCATTTTCTTCACATAACCTTCTAAAGCCAAATCATCTCCACTCTTTGGGGACAAAGTACTTTCTCCCAGTGGCCAATATGGTTTCTTCTCTGTCCTCTCATAGAAATGGAGAAGATAGTTTCAGGGACACAGCCTTTGCTGTGCTCAGACCCCCACAGCTCCCTGTCTTTGTTGGCTGCCTCTCCCCGCAGTGCTGTGCATCTTGGCACAGTGTGCTTCATAGTCATCTGTATGTGACTCTGACCTGGGGACTGAGGATAGAGATGGGACTCCAGGAACCCCATAAGTCTGACATTCTGGTGGAGCTAACACACTATTAAGTAAGGCCAAGACAGATGTGGCCCAGATGCTTCCAGAAAGTCAGAGTAGGGAGTCTTACCCATATAAATTGGAGCAAGAGTCAAAGGGGCATCCCAGATAAATGTCAGAGTCAAGCCCAGAAAGACAAACAGAGCCATTGAGCTGACAGAATGCCCAGAGGAAGGGCTTCTAAGCAGAGAGGGATACCCCTCATCTCCTCATGCCAGGAGGAAATGCCTCCTACCATTCCTCCCCTAGCCAAGACCTCTGCCTCTCTGAAGGGATCATGAAGAATTTGGCAGACTCATTCACATTCACCATAGATGACCTGTTGGTCATGACAGCTTACACTTTTAACAGAGAAGTTTGCCGAAGAGTCAACCATCCTGGTGGAAATCTCAGGCTCTGTAAATCTGGTTGAGTTCATTTCTAGAATGTTCCTCTTCCTTTTTGCCTCATCGTGGACCTTCCTCTTTATTGTTCGAAGTTCTCAGTGTCCACATTCTTTGAAGGTCCTTTTTTTTTAATTCCTTCATGGCATGCTCTCAGAGAATTAAGTTCATTGGTAACAATAGGTGCATCACAAAGTAGCTCCACACACAGTCCTTGCAGGAGCTCTGACTTCTCAACCATGGCCAGCGCCTGTACGATGCACCTCCCGAGAAACAGGTGTATTTCTGGGCCAAGCATTCATGTGAGTCTGACTGTGGTTAGACCAACAGTAATTGCAACATGCAATGAGACGGGGAGGGAAAGATGTGTTGTGAGCACTGGCATTTACTTACCAGGCCAAGGTTACCTGGTATGGCCAATGAGAAAGGAATCTTAACCAGGATGGTGGTCTCAGCAGGACTGAGGTGGAGACAAGTTTATCCCAAGGTTAAGACTCTTACCAGAAACAGAATATGATAGTTTCCAGGATCGATACAATGATAGTTGCCAGGATACAATGGTGTCGGCAAGCTATACAGGATACACAAGATTGATGTCTGAGTCTAATCGGTCTGTCAAGCTTCTATGCATTTTGTTGACTTCTGAGTAGCACAGAAAATCACAAGGTAGCCTGAATGCTCCATTGCCTCAGTTTCTCTAGAACTGACAGGCACACAGGGCCCCAGGAGCCACTGACTCTAACCTGAAAACCCATGTCACATGCCTCTCAAAGCAGCTAGACCAGGCCAGTTCCATGATTCCCTGTAACACCTAAGCGGTCCAGACCACTTCTGGACTTTCTGATTCTATCCTCAATCAGTAAGACTCTGTCACTGTGTGCCTCAGTGGTCTGGGAGTAAGGCCAGAGCAGAGTGCTTTGTGGAGAGATGCCAACCCCCAGAGCCTCACCTTGTGTATTTCCCAGGGGCAGGCACAGATGCTAATGTGTTCATCATCATCTTTGGGGAAAATGGAGACAGCGGGACCCTGGCCCTGAAGCAGTCAGCCAACTGGAACAAGTTTGAGCGGAACAACACGGACACCTTCAACTTTTCTGACATGCTGAGCCTGGGCCACCTCTGCAAACTGAGGGTCTGGCACGACAACAAAGGTAGCTACTGCCTGACCAGGGTGATCAGCAGTCTCTCTGGGACAGTACTCCCTGGCCCCACCTCTCTTTATAAGTAGACCCTGCCTACACCAGCAGGAAGGTGGGTGAGCCATGATTGCACCATTTGGGTGTACCATTGGTTAGAGGGCTGGTGTTCCAAGGCAGCTGTTATACCTGTGGCTTATTTCCTCCTGCTTTCTCCATGCAAGATTTATGATTCCTTGTTTTTGCAGTATCAGAGAATGGATTCTACTTAATTCAGGCATAAAAACAAAAGATTCGGTTGAGTCAGTAGCTCAAGTGTAGCATAATTGTTTAGCACGCACAAAGACTTGTGTTCTGTGCCTGAAAGACAGGAGTGAGGAGGAGGGATGGAGGAAGAGAGGGAGGAAGAGAGGGAGAGAGGGGGGGAGGGAGGGAGGGAGGGAGGGAGGGAGGAAGGAAGGAAGGAAGGAAGGAAGGAAGGAAGGAAGGAAGGAAGTCTGACCAAGTCCACTTCCCATGGATTTCCTATCAGTATTATACTTCCCCCCTTACAGTACTGAGTCTGAAGGTAGCCATATTCACTTATAAATTTAAGCAGGATACAAGTCAAGCGAGAACTTTACTTTTCAACTCTAAGGCACTTGTGGGATACTTTGTCCATTGCTGTGATGGAGTTCATGGCCTCCACATGCCTTTGACCGCTGCTTTGCTCTCTGCGGGCTTCTCTCTACTCTGCCTTTGCACCTGCAGCTTCCGTTTGATGTCAGAGTTGAAGGTCCACTTTCAGACTTACTCCATGCTTGCTGCTTCCTCCGACCCATCTCTAGCATCCTGAGTTAAAACTAGCTTTCCCCCAGCTGTCTGCTCAAGGCCCTCTCCTGCCTCCTGCTGTCTCCTCACCTCCTACAGATCTGTCCTAAGGCTGCCTCTCTTTACCTCTTCAAACCCTGCTGCAGCTGATCGATTGCTGATAAACCCAACTCAGCAGCTAGTTGTGCTTCTAGAAGGAATGATGTCACTGACTTGTTTCAACATGGGGTCACAGTCGAAGCACTCCCATATGACAGTAAACTGGGGTAAGGCAGAGAAAACAGCTGCTCTTCAAAGCAATAACATAACTTCATAGTTGTCAGATTTCCTGCATCTATTGGGTCATTCATACAACCAGGACCATCTATGTGTTCCTGGTGGGCCTAGGACCCTATGAGGTAGGAAAAAATACAGACATTTAGTTGTTCAGTGTGCTTTGTGATGTTGTGTTACAAAAGCATGTTCTCTATTACAAAAGCAAGGCTCTCTATTCTAACCAAAGAACATAGAGTTCTTAGGAAGTCTACCTCAGGACCACTGAGCAGCAAATGAACCAACCAGCAGTCAGCAGTAAGAATTCTTGTGTGGTTTTGACCCACCATGTCCATCCTGCTGATCATAATTCTGCATCTTGATTGTCCCTATGGCAGAGAGCCAGGAAGGAAGCTGGCAGTGTAAGGGAAAGCATGCTCTATCTGCTTGCTTTCTATCAGGTGTTCAGGTAGAAGCCTCGTCCAGACAAAGTGCTGTACCTAGGAGCTCATCTTTCTCACTTGTCACTGGGACAAAATATCTGACACAATCAGGCAAGGGAGGGAGGATTTGTCCTGGGTCAGTGTCAGAGCTTCCTGACCATAGTCAGCCAGCTCCTTTGCTTCTGGGATGTGGTGAGGCAGATTATCGTGGAGGAAGAGCCTGGCGGAGGAAAGTTGCTTATCTCAGAGCATCCAAGAAAAGCAAAGAGGAACTCAGGGAGGGACCTAAGATCTGCACTTTCAACAAAGACTTTCCTCGGGTCCCAGTTCATCAGGCACCTGCTGCAGAGACTCTGCTTCAGGACATGCTGCTGAGGGAAAAGGTGCCAAGGCCATGGGAACAAAGGAAAACACAGCAAACCAGGTGCGGTGCCACTGTGAGCTCAGGCCAGAGAGGCTAAACTGCTGCACATTAAGCACAACAAGGCTGTGTGGTCCAGGGATAGTGCTAAAAATGGTATCAACTTTTGTAGCTTGGGTCTCCACAACCCTGAACTCAGTCTTATGAGGACTGGGGGACAAAAAGGAGCCATTATCTAAGCTTGGAAAATGGAAACAATCCAGTGCTGGTAGGCAGCAGCGACTGGCTTTGCCTCCCACTCTGGATTTGCCATGTAATTCCAGCCACAAGTACATCTGCCTTGTGTCGTGGCTCCAAGCACACAGCCTGCCATAACTGTACTTCCCTACCTCTGGTTAGAAAGTGCTTGTATGTCTTCACCTTCTCACTAAAATGTATTGTCCAGCCACACATGAATTCCTTCTCCCAAACAGTTGGCTTATGTGTGACTGAATTCTGTTTTCTTTACATGACTGTCTTAGTTAGGGTTTCCTATTTTGATGAAATACCATGACTAAGAGCAACTTGGGGAGAAAAGAGTTTATTTTGTCTTTAGGTCTACATCACAGTCTATCACCTAAGGAGTTAAGGGCAGGGACTCAAGGCAGGAACTGATAGAGAGCCCACGGAGAGGTGCTACTTACTGTCTTGCTCCCTGTGGCTTGGTGAGCCTGTTCTTTTATACTACACAGACCACACACCAAGGAGTGGTACCACCCATAGTGAACCGGATCCACCCACATCAATCATCAATCAAGAAAATGCACTATGGCCTCACCCTCACCCCAATCTGTTGGGGCATCTTCTCAGTTGAGGTTTCCTCTTCTAAAGTGACTCTGTCTTGTATCAAGCTGACACAAAAACAGCCAGCACACTTGACTTTTAGCGCTGTGAGTTCTACTGTCTTGGCTTTTCCTTGATGCCAACCCACTACCTGTGATATAACAGAGAACTAATATAGTTTAATAGTATTTAATTACATCTTTCTTCAGGACTCTCAAATCCTCCCTTATACTTCATGCCTTCATCATAGATTCAATACCCTCCAGGGCTAAAGATTTTCTTGTGCCTTGATTGAAGTGGGGGTGCTGCCCATAAACCTCAGCTGAGCTCATGATTAAGCCCTTTAGATGTCTACACCCCTTCTCCAAACAGTTGTGTGCATGTCTGCGCTCTCTTGGCTTTCTTGGTGTATATTTTGCAATGCAAAAGCCTGACACCCGATTAATTATCTATTTTCTTATCATCACTGTCAAACCCTGGAAGAGGTGGGAGATCATTCAGCACTGAGGACAGCGCCAGCCCCCTCCACACAGTAGCTAAGGCTGTACACTGTCATTAGATTCCAGACTCCCAGAAAGTTTGACACTGAGTCCTGGTCTGATGGCCTTGGCCCTATGGTGACTCTTGGATACGAACAAATTCAGAGTCACTGATGTGATCCTTGTTCCCACATAGGCAGAGAGAAGTGGGTATCCTTCCCAGGTTGACTTTGGCCCCAAAAGCAGGATAATTCCATGAGCAGGTAAGCCTTTATGGTTGGGATCAATTCCTGAGAAGAGCCAAGTGCTCAGTTCAGTTCCTCTCTATAGTAGCTTCCTCTTTCGAGGATGTAGATGCAGAAGTTCATACACGCTACGTCTGCTGAGCACGTCTTTGATGCCTCTCCTTGCTACACTTTCCTCACTCACATTAGAAATCCCTCCCAACTCTATCTAGTCCTTGAACAAAAAATAATGTGTAAATAAATGTATTTTGTTTGAAATTCTTCCTCTAAAAGGTAAATATTTCTAGATAAAGATACAAATGAGTCTCCAAATGTTTAGCTAACTTAAATCATAGTGTTCTTCTCATCCCTGGATTTGCTTGGGGGGGATGTTAAATTGGTAAAAATAAATAAATAAGTAAATAAATTGACCTTCTGGAGGTGTGTTTAATCTAACAAAATTTTTGAACATGCAGAAAAGTGAAGGAAACAGCGACATCAGCCCGCACCTGTCTGTCACCTCAGTTCAAAATGATCTTGCCTTACCACATCAACTTAACTGCTTGACTTTGTGCTCCTCACTGATTACCAGAGAATATTAAACTAAGTCCTAAGTTTTGGGCTACTTCACTCCAAACACGCTCACACTTAGTGTGTTTCTCCTCTGGAAATGGACTTTTTTTTTCTGTAAAACCACACCACCACTTCACAACGATTCCATTTTTACTGTGTAACACACTTTTCCAGTATGCAGTAGGTAAACTTACTTATAAACACATATGAGGTACACAGGAGAGTGTACGGAGCGTTGAGGAAATATTGTGTATTGATGTGGAAGTACGTAGGAAGAAGTCTTGCTGTCACTAGTTCTAATATCAAATTCTGGATTTAGCACTTAGGAGACTGGTTGCGCCATTGTATACTTCCTTCCTAACTCTCTGATGGCTTCATCTGACGATGATGATAAATTAGAAGGACAATGTGACGCTACAATTCTATCATTTCTTTTCCACTTACCAGCTAGGGGGCCTCCTTTTTTAAAAAAAAAAAAAGTCCCTGTGGCTATTTGATTGCCACAGAATACAGTTTGAAGAAGAAAATCAAGATAAATGAGTAATTATTCTACTTAATTTTAATTACCCAGATAGCTTTTATAGTACTGAACAAATTGTAATAGTGTTTATTTTCTAACCCATCTTGCTTTTCTTGCTTTTCTTGCCTCCTCTGGTTAAATGAACACTCTGCTTAGCAAAGAATTTTTAACCCCAAGATGATTGACAGTTTTTGAATAATGTGAGTCCATAGAAATAAGGAGCTCAGAAATAATCATAGGAATGCTACACTTAGGCAGATAACACTGAGACTCGAATTCATATCTGTCAAGACCCAGGACGTTACCCAGGACGGCCTCTGATGAGTCCCTTGCACAGGTTTTGAAAAGACAATAGCTAGAGTCTTGCGTTCTTCCGTATCCAGGGCTCTCTGATGGCTCTGTAGCTCACTTCAAACTGTCCATGATCAAGCTGAGGAAATGTGAGTCACCCATATGGGCTTTTAACTTCTCGTGGGTTATTTTTAGGGAAGGTGTTGCTTGGTGAAGCGAATCTTTCTACCTGAGAAGAAT